GAAGAGAGAGGGAGGGGACGAGCCAGGGCTCAGTGTGTGAATGGACACAGGGGCAGCGGGTGCCCCCATAGCAAGCTGCTTGCTGTGGGGGAACCTGACAGGAGGGAGGGGCCAGGGAACGCCAGTGGAGGAGCCGAGAAAACGTGGATCTGGGCTGCTTTGTGCAAAACCACTGCACCCAGCAGGAAAGTAAAAGCCTTTAGAATCACTAAGGATTACAATCACGCAGAATAAAACTAAGCGAAGCCTTCTTTCCTCCAACAATCTCATTGGACTAAAGCAAAGGTTTTTTTTACCTGACTGGAGTTCTTTAAACGGTGACACAAGGAATCTGAATCTGCGGTAAAATATAAACCTGGCATGATTACACAAACTCCGATTCCAGTGTTGCACTGACATGATGGCACTGCGTGGTTGCAATTATAGTATGAGGAATTCTGGGTCGTGAAATTTCCTGAGGAGATCTGAAAACAGCCAACTTGGCCGTTCACTGAACAGACATACAACATAAATATAAAGGAAAAATAGGAGCAAGAAAGAGCGCAAAACCGGGTGTTCCAGTGTCAGAGCTAGCAAATAAAGATTTAAAAAAAAAAAACAAACAAAAAAAAAAAAACATGCTTCTATTTTCAATGGTTCCTCAGACACAGCAAATCTATATAACACATCAGCAGGTAAGAAAGAATTTCCTATGTGGGCAGGTAAAGAAAATAAAAAAGGCAAGAGATCTTCACAGAAAATTAAAAAAAAAAAAAAACAAAACACTGTTTAGGAATGGTTATTTGTTTTGGACATTAACCCTTCCAGTAATATGAGAGCTGGCAAATGCTATATTTAACCCATAAGTGATGCATCCAATGGAAGGGAATGTCACCAGCGCTAAGCCAAGTGCTTTATAGGGAATCTATTTTTAAAAAAATAAATAATTCATGGGGAAGCCTCAGATGGAGGTGACCACGCAGACTCCTGGGTTGCAAGGCTTGTTCGCGGGCTGTGTGGCAAACCTGTTGGCACCATCACAGCCACAATGATGGTATGCAACGTCAGACTGAGCTTGCCAGGCTGACTTCTGGACTAAAGGATCACTCAAAGATGGTGTGGTGAACCCAAGATCTCCGTTATCTCTGCCCTAAGACTAGACCTTTGGGCTGTAGGCTCTTTCATACCCACAAGCACCATCACTGACTGCCCCATAGAAACCAACTCAGCTTTAGATTGATGTTGCAAGGTTGAGTTGTGAGCCATCGGCTGTGTGAACCTGTGAGCAGTCTGCTTCAGAGGTAGTATATGCAGCCGCAGATTGAGATGGCCAGGCTGACTGTTGGCTATAGGCTCATTCAAAGATGGTTTTGATGAACCCACAAGCTTGCCTTTGCCCCATTGATAGTATGCTGGCCAAGAGTAAAGGATGACCACTACTAGTTCCCCTTCAACCAAACCTTGCACTTCAAGCAAAGTCCGCTTATTCTTCGTGGCTCCCTCCCATTCATTAAGCACTGCTTAAATGAACCTGTGGGGGAACATTTGTCATATATCCTCACCTTGGGGGAAATATATATCCTCACCTTGGGGGGGAAAATAGTTATATATTCTCACCTTGGGGGGAAAATAGTTATATATCCTCACCTTGGGGGAAAATATATATATCCTCACCTTGGGGGGAAAATATATATATCCTCACCTTGGGGGGAAAATAGTTCTAGATCCTCACCTTGGGGGGGGGAAAATAGTTCTAGATCCTCACCTTGGGGGGAAAATAGTTCTAGATCCTCACCTTGGGGGGGGAAAATAGGGGGGAAAATAGTTCTAGATCCTCACCTTGGGGGGAAAAATAGATCCTCACCTTTCTAGTTCTAGATCCTCACCTTGGGGGGAAAATAGTTCTAGATCTCACCTTGGGGGGAGTTCTAGATCCTCACCTTGGGGGGAAAATAGTTCTAGATCCTCACCTTGGGGGGAAAATAGTTCTAGATCCTCACCTTAGATCCTCACCTTGGGGGGAAATAGTTCTAGAAATAGTTCTAGATCCTCACCTTGGGGGGAAATAGTTCTAGATCCTCACCTTGGGGGGGAAATAGTTCTAGATCCTCACCTTGGGGGGAAATAGTTCTAGATCCTCACCCTTGGGGGGAAATAGTTCTAGATCCTCACCTTGGGGGGGAAATAGATTCTAGATCCTCACCTTGGGGGGAAATAGTTCTAGATCCTCACCTTGGGGGGGGAAAATAGTTCTAGATCCTCACCTTGGGGGGGGGAAATAGTTCTAGATCCTCACCTTGGGGGGGGAAATCGTTCTATAGTTCCTCACCTTGGGGGGGAAATCGTTCTATATCCTCACCTTGGGGGGGAAATCTAGTTCTATACCCTCACCTTGGGGGGGGGGTTCTAGAACCTTAGTTCTATACCCTCACCTTGGGGGGAAATCGTTCTCCTCACCTTGGGGGGGAAATCCTCACCTTGGGGGGGAAATCGTTCTATACCCTCTTGGGGGGGAAATCGTTCACCCTTGGGGGGGAAATCGTTCTATATCCTCACCTTGGGGGGGGTTCTATACCCTCACCTTGGGGGGAAATAGTTCTATATCCTCACCTTGGGGGGAAATAGTTCTATATCCTCACCTTGGGGGGAAATAGTTCTATATCCTCACCTTGGGGGGAAATAGTTCTATATCCTCACCTTGGGGGGAAATAGTTCTATATCCTCACCTTGGGGGGAAATAGTTCTATATCCTCACCTTTCTGCAATTTCCGTAGTATCGGGGGGGTGATGTCATCCTCCTGCAGACAAGCTCTCTGGAAATGCTGAGCAGACCCAAATCTCACATGAAGGCACCGCGGCCCAGTGCATGATTATCTTCTAGTGAGATTTGTGCTACTCAACATTCTCTGAGATCTGGCCGAAGGAGGATGACCTCACTCTCTCCAAGCTGCAACAGGAAGATGAAAAAGGCTATTCGTTTCCCTTCCACACGTTCTATTTTTCATGCCTGTCCTGTGGGTTAGGAAGGGGCAGGGAAGAAGTTTGAATAAGCAGTCCTTTAACCTTAAGCAGCCCATAAATTATGTAGTTTTCTTTCCTTCCAGCACGGGTGGAAGAAAAAAAAAAAAAAAGAAAAAAGTTACCACATTCCCCCATCACCACAGTCAGTGTTGATGGGGGAATCCCTCCTGCAAAGGTATTGTTCTCTGCCAGCAGGGAGCCTTCCCAGACGGCAGAACACAAAGATCACTGCTAGCGGCTATAGCCACCGGCAGTGATTGCATACAACCAGCCTGCCCATAGATGAATCAAATCTCAGTTGGTCCCTGCTGAACTGGCAGAGATTCAATCCATCATGGTTGGCTCCATTAAAGGAGAAATCCCTACCGCAGGCATCAGTGCGAGATGAGTGGGGGGGAGTAAATACTATCATGTCCTACCCACTTTAAATACTCAGTCTAAACAAAGCCTATTACAGAGCTTTGAAAGATTTCTACCTTTAGAAGCCAAAAGACCTAGCAAGCTGACAGGTCCAGGAGGGGCCTCCAGGATTGGTACTATAAAAGCCAACTCCTCCTATGAGTAAACGTACAGTGATCAATGCACTATGGATACACTCTTTATGCTCTTCCCACCCGATTTCACCATGTGTTACCTTTCACTCATAATAAAAACAAATCTTACTTGCAGGGGCAGACTGACAACTCGTGGGGCCCCCTGGCAATAGGGGGATCATGGGGCCCCTGTGTCCTTGCCCAAACTCAAAAAAGCCTATGAAAAGGGTACCAGGGGCATCTCATGGGGCCCCCTACTGACCCCTGGCCCTCGGGCAGGGCCCGAGTTTCCAAATGGTCAGTCCCCCTGCTTACTTGTATATTCCTAGCCTCTTTAAAGAAAGAAAATTAAAAAACCCAAAAAAACAAAAAAAAACACATGTCTTTTCTCTACGGTGTGTATAACATCCCACCACACCTCTCTAAGCCCTCTCTTTCCTCCTCACCTCTAAACAGTCACTTGCTGCAGCAATACATGGTGGGCTTTAAGGGGCAGATTCTAACCAAGACTGAGGTAGCGCAGCCTACACCCCTCACAAATACAAGAGACAGGAGGGAGCATTTTTAAAGATGGGCAGAATCACTGATCATCAATAAAAGCGATGTAGTAGGTTAAAAGTTAGCTTTTCGTAAGAATCCCTATGCGCTTGTTTATGCTGGTTCCAGGTTCCCTTAAACTACAAAAATGAATAGCAGGGGATGCCTTTTCATGGGTTAAATAAAACCTACCACATTTATTCTTAAATAACACAAAAAAAAAATTGTAATACATACATATATATTTAAAAAAAATAAAACGGAAAAAAAAAAAAAAAACACGGTTCGGTTATTTAAAATTGCTTAGTGTTTTCAACGGTATATAATTTAATTAGAGACTGTGGAACTGAGGTATAGCTTGTTGAGGGAGGTTAAACTATGCTTGGAAGCCTCTTTAAAATGTCCCACAAACTTTTCTTATAGGTTTCTATACACAGAAGAGCAGCACAGGGGAACATTCACAAGCTGTGTCATATTGGCATTACAATAGTCATTTATAGAAACACAACAGCAAATGCAATAAAAACAGTTACCCTTTTTTTCTTAAAATCTGAAATGAAATGCTTTGATTTAAAAAAAAAAATATTCATAGGATATATATATACACATATATGTATATGTGTGTATATATACATATATATATATTTTTATATATATATATATATTTATAGCAGTAGTTCACTCAAGGTTCAGTCCTTCTCTGATGTGTTTAAAAAACAAAAAAAGGGAAATAGGTCAGCTGTCCAGAGAGGTCTCCTTGTTTCTTCATGTTTTATTCATTCCGTAATTCGTTGCCGAACCGTTGCAGGCCACGAGGAATGATACGCCGGGTGCGTCCCGAGGGACGGACGTTGCAGCACAGACCAACCATTTCCGCTGAGAGTCATTCCTTAGCTTAGCAGCTGTGAGTCTGTTGGTCTAGTGCAAGTATCATAGACTAGATTCCTTGGGCGGGAAGTCCACATTTGTCACCATGGTGACCACTGTTACAATGTCATCTGTGGTAATGATATTTGTGAGTCTTTGCATCTGGATGATCCGCTCCTCCACGCAGCCTGCTGATAACCGGGCTTCTGCGTCGTGATCCCAGCACTCCTCGATGGTTTCACAGAGCATCGCCAACCCCTGGGTGGAGAAAGGGTAGGATTCGGTGATCAGAGATTCACAGCAGATTTCATTCAACAAAATGATGTTTTTTTCTTTTACTCCAGAAGATGAAAAGGTCATACTAAATCATACGGGGCCCCCGGGCATTAGGGGATCATGGGGCCCCTGTGTCCTTGCACAAACTCAAAAAAGCCTATGAAAAAGGTACCAGGGGCATCTCATGGGGCCCCCTACTGACCCCAGGCCCTAGGGCAGTGCCCGAATTTCCAATTAGTCAGTCCGCCCCTGAAATCATATGTACTTAAAGCTGAACCTGGGATGAAAAATCATTACTCTTGCAGTGGGTCCCCCTCCATGCCGCAGGAGCCAACTCCTTGTTTTGCATGAGGGATGATGAAGGTGGTGATATACTTACCTTGTTGCTTGCTCCCTGAGGCTCTCTTTTCCGCTGCCCAATGATCCAGAATGTGGGTGAGCCCTTGACGTCATCCTGTATAGCACAAGACCATTGGTCCTGCATTGTACGGGATGACGTCAGACAGCTGCCAGCAGTCAGGCAGAGGAGGTGGCCTGGGAGAACAAGGAATAAAACTAGATCACCTTATTTATCACTGCCTAGGCAAAATGGGCGGTTAGACTTTGCAGGGAAGACAGAGAACCAATTGTTAGGATTTAATTGTCCCAGAGTTCAGTTTTAAAGTAGAAACCACAGGCAACATACAAAACGTAATGTTTTCTGGACTAGTAACAGGATTAAACATTGCGCAGTCTTTTCATTCCCATTCCCCCTTTAAACGTATAAATTACCTTGAGATCCTACTAACTGAACTGCTGTTGAGGCATCTTCTTTGCAAGGGTGACAACAGCCTCCCTGTGTTATGTACAATTCTGCAGCCTTGTCGTCCTCGAGCTCCTGAGCCAACTAGCATTACAGCCCTACGCGATTATGTAAGTAGTGGGTGTGGCTAGGCACATCACTCCTGACTGACCATCTTCTCACTACTCAAAAAGTAGCTGGCAACCCCAGCAGTAGCTTGCACATCCCAGGGAAAAGACATGCAAACCTTGCTGCAACCCGCCCACTTAGTATCTGGCAGCCTGTGCACACCACCCACATGTCCTGTCCATGTAATGTAAGGTAACGGACTCACTGTACTTAGGGAACTTAATAGCCACAGGATAAGGTTTCAAATAGGGGAATAAAAAGTAGAATTTTGAGCTACATTTATAATGTATTTTATTGTTAAACCTATGTTTTTATACTTCATTTTCTTGAAATTCTGCTGTTATGTGGGGGAAGCACACAGTGAACCAGATTGTAGACATTAAAAGATTTAAAAACAAGCCATTCCTGACCTCTCTAGCTGCTTGTCCTGTGAAGTAATTCATCCTCAAAAATCACAACTAAGACTTAAATCCGTTTCATATATTTTCTAACAGCTTTAAGGCATATCATATCCAATCAGCAGGGGATCAATAAACAGACCAAACTACAGATGGTATATTTGTGACATCTGTGTCCATTCGATTGTCTCCACCCGGACCCTAACAGACCTCTGCTACGTCTATGGGCAGGAAGATTTAAAACTGATGTGTCCCCAATTTACATCCAACTACCTCAGATCTATCATGTTTAGATCTGAAAAAAAAAAAAAAAAAAAAAAAACGAAAAAGGACAGGACTTTTTTTCTCCCAGACCTGGATGCAAACGAATGCTTGTCCGTTTTACATACCCCTGCTAATAGAAAGTCATGGAGTTTTCCAGATCCTCCTGAAAAACAAACAGGCAGATCTGAACCTGAACTGCTGTGTGAAAGAACCCTGCAAATTTTTGCATAATTTTGTTTGAATACCCATGTCATGTTTAGAGCGGCCCACTGATTTTAATGGGCTGCCCTATGCTCAAAAACGTACAAAAGTGCATGACCCTTTTTAATTGGGCCACACTGAAATGTATAGTAGTCTGCAACCATGCACTTTGGTACACGTTTGCAAGGTACACTGGGGTGCTATTAAGAACGAATGACACTGCCAGGCACCTACAAAACAGATGCTTTTTTTTTTTTTTAGCTTTTGTGTGTCATCCTGCAACGCTCAAATGTGAACCTAGATGTGTGCCTTATAGGCACCTGCTGTAGGTTTACATTAGGAGACTGGCAGGCAGCCTATATTCTCCTACAATAGAAAGACATAGGAAAAAGAGTATAGGCTAAGATTTCTGTGCTTCTGCTGTGAAGTTTGAAGATGAATGTAACCACAATGCTTATAGCTACAGCAATGACATAAATCTTGTTTTGAAGTATTTTTACTGGGCTTTCAGAAAACACAAACTCTGTGGTGTGCACAGTATGGAAGTTCACTCTGAAGTCTTTAGGTCTACAACCACATGCACTGCGTAATGTCTGAGTTTTTATTAAAAGGGGGAACATAGTGAATGAGAATTGCTGGCTCTCTTATACAAATGTCCAATGTACTCTGTACACCGTGACAAGGAAGCACCCTACATTCAATGGTATATTAGTCAAAGATAAAAGAAGAAATAAACATTTTAGAAAAAGTAAAACTCATAAGGACAGTTTAAAAAAAAATAAAAAGCAGAAAAAAAAAAAAAAAAAAAAAAAATCGGTTGCCATTCAGAGCTCAAATGCAGCCCAATTTAGGAATACAGCAACTGCGTGATAAGACAGAGACTGGATAATATGTGCACTGAAAGCATACACAAAACTTTTACACATTTTTATCAGCTTCAATGACTTCATAAAACAGAAGCCATAAGACAACCACAGGCTTTATGGTAACAGCAGCAAACCTTTAGCTACTTACTGCGTGTTTCTGCCAACATTCCCTTAAAATAGGCCTTTTCTTCTTATGTACCACCACCTCCTGCATGTCCTCCAGAGACGGGTGCTGGCCTATTTCCTCCTCAAACGGTAACATGTACTCATCCACAGGACCTGAAAAAAGGATTGAGACAGAAGAAGGTTTAGTATGCAACTGGATGGAATTTTATTAATCTACTAAATTGATTCAAAAGACTGCCCTTTCCTGAATATTTAATGAGAAGCTGCACAACTATACCCACAATATGAAAAACGACACGTTTCTAATGTGCCCACACAATTTATTTATATCAGTGCTAAAATCTGTTATAAAAAGACTTCAGGCTGCTGCAAATTCCTTCTAACATTCCAATAAATTTTCTGTGGCAGACCTTTAAAAAAAAAAAAAAAAAAAAAAGGTTTTGAACTGCCAGCTTGCACTGCTTTTCTCTAAAGGTGTTGTGAGCTGCAAAAACGCATGTACAGAAATGGATCTGCTAAAAGGTAAAACGGTGATTCCTGGATACTAAAAAAAAAAAAAAAAAAATGGAAAAAGTCCAAAGGACGTTGAAAAATAAAGAACAAAGTGGAAAGATCATAAACTACTACAGAAAATAAAAACAAGAAGTATAGCAGGAACAGAAAAAAAGAAGAACTAGGGCTTTAAAAAGACCAAGTCGCCAAACCATCTACTGCAACATCAATTTTCCCATTAAATTATATCGGCATTTTATCTATGTAAGATCCTCTGTTGTGTAGACATCTAAAAGGCCTGAGACTGCTACTGGATACCCCCATCTTGGATGTGATGTCAGCAGCCCCAGCACTCCTTCTCCTCCGCTCCTCCTAAAGATGCTAGATAGATTATGCAGAGAGGTGCAGGGAGGAGATGCTGGGCCATTACATACAATAATTAGACAGTCCCAAGAAGGAATGGGCTGTACTAGGGAAATTACTTTTCCTGAAGTAATCAAAATGCTCTGTCAAGTTCAAAGGCACATTGCAACTAACTAAAAAAACAAAACAAAACAAAAAAAAAAAAACACACACAACTTATGGAATGGAAAAACCCTGAAAGTAAGCATTTTGAAATACTTGATTTTTTCTGTGCTTTTACCTACAAGGAGATGACAGGGCATCTTTTATCAAGATCTGTAGTCACAACATACACTTTCATTTTATATGAGCTATATAGTAACAATACAAGCATTAGTGTTTTATGACAAGCCAATGTAAGCTTGCTAGAAAAATATTTTACATTGTGAATACTGCCTGTCTGCTGGCTGTCTTTCCACAACTTCCTGGATTCTCTGCATGCTTTGCAGCTTCTCCTCTGTCGTTTACTTTCCCCTTCTAAGGACTACATATCCCATGGTACCTTGCTGCCTGCAAGCAGCGATTCCTGTACTGACTCCGCCTCCTGAAACCCCTCCTCTCAGCACCTCTGTCATTCAGAAGGCAGGCTCTGTGAAATGTGTGACACAGCAGTGCCTACTCACAGGGCATAGTAAATGTGCGGGATCTTCACAAAGTTTACAAACTTCAAGATCCTTCAGATTAATAGCAGTAGGCTAGAGAGAACTGAAATGCAATGTGTAAATATATGATTTTACATTTTGACTATAGATACATTTTAATGGTTATACACCACCTAATAACTTCAGACTCTGCCAGTATCCTGATGTGAACTGGCAGCTGTTCATAGTGGAATGCTGCCCATGTATTGTGACAGAAGTGGTGGTGGTCTAGGGCTGCTGTCCTGAAGAGTTAGAAGTTTTCCAACCTACACAGACCTTTGCAAACTTTCAGTCAGTTCTTTTGTTTCTTATGATTCACAAGTGGTTGAAAACTGGATGTTCACCATTCTAATACTATATAGTGCAGCTGTACTCACCATCTGATGCCGTGCACCTAGATGCCAGTTCCCAGAGGACGAGACCGAAGGCGTACATGTCTATCCTCAGGAAGGCATCCCTCTGGAAATTAATAGCACCCTCTAGCACTTCAGGAGCCATGTACCTCCGGGTTCCCACCTGAAAAACCAAAAACACAGAACACTCAAAATTCAATTCAGGTATAAAATAACATGAAGCCAATACTTTAAAGCAGGAAGGCAAATCTCTACTGTCTTCTCAGTATTGCTATTTGGTGCCAGTGTCAGGGCAGTGTGTGGGTCAAGTGCCACTAACAGGCAGGGAGGAGTTGTGGGCAGCAAGTAAACAGTCATGCCTCTGTAAAGATGGATGCAGTGATGTGACAATGACACTGCATAGTTGAATGGGATCAGAGGGCTGGCTGACAACATGCTATTAAAATGGACACAGTGGTGATGTCATCGCATAGCATAATGGGGAAGAAGGAAACAGAGGGCAGACAATGCCGCAGATTCAGCAGCAGTAAAGTGACTTGGTCAGCCTTCTTTTACCTTCATCCCCATCATACTATGCAGTGACATCACCATGTCCATCTTCACAGCGCATTGTCAGCCAGCCATCTGATCCCTGCCTGGATGCAGGAAACAAGGCCACAGCAGCACCAAAGGCAGAATTTGTAGGAGAGATAACATCCTAGATTGTAAGCTCGAAAGAGCAGGGCCCTCGATCTCCTCATGTTTTGCATTGTATTGGTATTGTTCTGTCACATGTTCTGTCCCCCTTTGTAATGTACAGCGCTGAGCGAACTATTGGTGCTTTATATTATTATTATATTATTATTTACAGTAGTTATAGACTGCCAAGTACAAGCTTAAGCTTTATTTGTGACTTTTGTATTTTGCCTGAAATGCTACTTTAATGAGCACATCAACCAGACTTCAACTGTCTGAAACTGGAATGTAAATCTGATATCAGGAATATGAATATAGTACAAAACACTAACAAAATGAGGTCAGGTGTCTGATTAGAACACAATAATTTAGGGCACAGCCAATATTAATTAACATGTGCAATAAAAAATAAACAACCTTCCTAAATATTAGGTAGAACAAGACTCAGACAAGCGTCTCTGGGAAAACATGCAAATAAGCATTTCCAAGAAGATAAAAGTTGTGAATAAAGCTCTTCTGTCATGGCAGGCTTGTATGTGAAAGCCTCACCTACTCCCAGTCATCTCCCATGACACAATGTTATGCTCTACGGAATTCCTCATCCTGTAGCTGTTAACATTTATTCAGAAGTAATCGATTTGTGCACAGAGGTTTATTTCTACATGTCAAGACACCTACCTGACCATGTGTGTCACCAGCAGATTTACCAGCTTCAAACTTAAGAGCAAGACCAAAATCTGCTATACAGGCCGTCAGATTGTTTTTCAGGAGGATATTTTTGCTCTTGATATCTCTGTAGAAAGATAGAAAAACATGGCTTAATAATTAGCGAAGGATGTCTAGAGCCTTCAGCTTTACTGGAGTAGTGAATGGGAGTATCTTCCAACCAAAGCCAAATGGCCAAAGGCGGCTTTACCTGTGAGCAATTGCTGGCTTGTGGCCGTCTTTCAGGTTGGGGATATCTTCGTGGAGGTATGCCAGGCCTCTAGCCATCGTCTCAGCAATGTAATACAGCTCACTCCAAGTAACCACATTTGCCTTGAGAAAATCTGTAAGTGAACCCTGTAGAAGAGAAGAGAAACACTTAAAAATATTGTTGAAAGGTGTAATGACTTGTGGTCCCTAGACGTTCATGTCCTACTGGAGAGATTTACCTGTAGACAACAGGAAGGAAGAGGAAAGCTCTCTAAAATGAGGGAAATCACCTCTGACAACGTAAACCCCCCACTGGAAGATTTCGCCTCTATTCTGGCTTTGGTACAATATTTTCCTCCACCATCCCAACACCTATGCTCACTAACCAGTGGAAAAATATGTATATACTTAGCAATTTTCAGCCTGCTCCAGTCCGGTCAAGTGATACCATGTCAGCCAACAGCAACTGCAGGAAAGAAGACTGCGCTCTAAAAACCACTAGTAAACTCTGGAGCAGTGACATCACCCATAGGCTTCAATGGCCCATCTGTTGTTGGCACTCCCTCCTCTCCCCTGCTGGCTGACACAGGGGAGCTGGATCACATGACCAGAACCCAGCAGTTTAAAAAATAGGTTAAGTGTATACATCTACCTTACACAGGTTAGTCAGCAGAGGTTTTGGGTAATCAGATGGAAGGTGACCCTCCAATTATTTGGCATGTATATTTGTATCACACACAAGTATGTGGTTGCTTTATATTGTCACCTTTGCCTCTCTGAAACTTTGGTTGGTGTTTTACAAGGGTCTACAGTTGGAAAAATTAAAAAACGCTGCATTTGCATATGGCATGCTGGCTTTTATTGGCAATAGATGGCCGGGGCTGAGCACCCTCTTCATCATTCTGGTGGTTGGAGACAGTGACAGGAATTGTTGATTTTAGTTTTTTACTGATGTATTTCCCTAAAAAGGGAGATAGCCCCCCACTTCCTGTCAGGTCAAGAATTAATTGGATGTCTCCCCAATGCTGACAAAAGCTAAGCCCATTTTTAGGAAGAAAATCAAGCAGTAATTTTTATTTTTCTCTAATCTAGCCATATCTGAAAGAAAAAAAAAAAAAATTGTGGCTGGAGTTAGGCTCTAAATGGGTGATTTCTAATATTCACTATTTGCTAGATATAGGATAATTTTGCCACTTGAAAAAAAAAAAAAAATTCTCTACCCATACCCACAGCCTGCAAACTGCAGAACAGACATTTATCAGCCGCTTCCATTATAACTGTTCTGCACAGGCTGCTACTTTTGTATGGCCCGAAGAAAGGGGGGGGGGGGCATTTTAGGACCTCTGAAATGTGTTGATGCATTTTTTTTTTAAATTTAATCAACCCTTTGGCGCCGAAAGCCTCCTGGTCCTTTAAGGGTTCTAAAAGCTGGGAGGCAGGGATCCTCAGGTCATATGACTGCTGTGATTGGCCGTCACATGATCAGAAATCTCCCAATCATAAGTATGCATCGGGAGCTTACCAATCCCCATCAGCTACAGTGTTGAACGCATGGAGGGACCACGCTCTAAGCAGGGCAAGTAGTTTTATAACAGGGTTGCATATATGTGGCCGCTCTGCATTAATGCCCACCCGCCGAGCAGCCGCATATACAGTCAGGTCCATAAATATTGGGACATCGACACAATTCTAACATTTTTGGCTCTATACACCACCACAATGGATTTGAAATGAAACGAACAAGATGTGCTTTAACTGCAGACCGTCAGCTTTAATTTGAGGGTTGTTACATCCAAATCAGGTGAACGGTGTAGGAATTACAACAGTTTGCATATGTGCCTCCCACTTGTTAAGGAACCAAAAGTAATAGGACAGAATAACAATTATAAATCAAACTTTCACTTTTTAATACTTGGTTACAAATCCTTTGCATTCAATTACAGCCTGAAGTCTGGAACGCATAGACATCTCCAGACGCTGGGTTTCATCCCTGGTGATGCTCTGCCAGGCCTCTACTGCAACTGTCTTCAGTTCCTGCTTGTTCTTGGGGCATTTTCCCTTCAGTTTTGTCTTCAGCAAGTGAAATGCATGCTCAATCGGATTCAGGTCAGGTGATTGACTTGGCCATTGCATAACATTCCACTTCTTTCCCTTAAAAAACTCTTTGGTTGCTTTTGCAGTATGCTTTGGGTCATTGTCCATCTGCACTGTGAAGCGGCGTCCAATGAGTTCTGAAGCATTTGGCTGAATATGAGCAGATAATATTCCCGAAACACTTCAGAATTCATCCTGCTGCTTTTGTCAGAAGTCACATCATCAATAAATGCAAGAGAACCAGTTCCATTGGCAGCCATACATGCCCACGCCATGACACTACCACCACCATGCTTCACTGATGAGGTGGTATGCTTAGGATCATGAGCAGTTCTTTTCCTTCTCCATACTCTTCTCTTCCCATCACTCTGGTACAAGTTGATCTTGGTCTCATCTGTCCATAGGATGTTGTTCCAGAACTGTGAAGGCTTTTTTTAGATGTCGTTTGGCAAACTCTAATCTGGCCTTCCTGTTTTTGAGGCTCACCAATGGTTTCCATCTTGTGGTGAACCCTCTGTATGCACTCTGGTGAAGTCTTCTCTTGATTGGTGACTTTGACACACATACACCTACCTCCTGGAGAGTGTTCTTGATCTGGCCAACTGTTGTGAAGGGTGTTTTCTTCACCAGGGAAAGAATTCTTCGGTCATCCACCACAGTTGTATTCCGTGGTCTTCTGGGTCTTTTGGTGTTGCTGAGCCCACCGATGCGTTCCTTCTTTTTAAGAATGTTCCAAACAGTTGTTTTGGCCACGCCTAATGTTTTTGCTATCTCTCTAATGGGTTTGTTTTGTTTTTTCAGCCTAATGATGGCTTGCTTCACTGATAGTGACAGCTCTTTGGATCTCATCTTGTTGACAGCAACAGATCCCAAATGCAAATAACACACTTGAAATGAACTCTGGACCTTTTATCTGCTCATTGTAATTGGGATAATGAGGGAATAAACACACACCTGGCCATGGAACAGCTGAGAAGCCAATTGTCCCATTACTTTTGGTCCCTTAACAAGTGGGAGCCACATATGCAAACTGTTGTAATTCCTACACCGTTCACGCCTGATTTAGATGTAAATACCCTCAAATTAAAGCTGACAGTCTGCAGTTAAAGCCACATCTTGTTCGTTTCATTTCAAATCCATTGTGGTGGTGTATAGAGCCAAAAATTTTAGAATTGTGTCGATGTCCCAATATTTATGGACCTGACTGTATATGCAAGTGGCCGACGTCAAAAGGGTAAGACAATTGTAGACATTTCAAGTTTTAAACTTTAGGGATTGGTCATCCTACACTCCAATCCCATTTGCTAACTACAGGATTAATCTAAAGTGACCACAATTGAAAAAAGTTAAATATTTTTCTACAGCAACACTGTGGTGGGAATGCGTTCAAAAGAAAACAAAGTAGAACTAAGAAGCTATTATATTTATCTTTTAGATGCTTGATGGCATAAATGAAAGCAAAAGTCACCAACATACACCCATGAAGATTAGACCTTAATGTCTAAATGGAATCGAACCTTTTCATGGAAAGCAGTTATGAGCCAGAGGTCTGTGTCCAGGTTGGTGCCTCGTTTTTCTGCTCCGATGAACTGCAAGATATTTTCATGCTTCATGCCAGGCAGGCTGTAGACCTCATATTCGTTTTTGCCACGACAATTTGTCCTGAAGGACAACACAAAAGACATTAGAGATATGATCCATAGGTCTCACAGTGGATGTACATCTTTAGCCTGATAAAGGCAACATGTATAGTCATTACTAAGAGCCAATTTTACACACAAGTTTAATATCCAACCCCACATTTTGCAAAAAAAGTATAAATGCACCAATATTTGCATGTGCATTTATTTTTTTTTTTTTTTTTTCCAAATGAACCTACAAAGCATTGAAACTGTGATCGGCGGCTCATGGATGCAATGCATAGGCTCCTGCAGACTTCAGCTACTTGTCTGTATGGAGGTACAGGGTTTCAGTTACTAATCTGGAGGAAGAGTCAACAGAATACAAGTGCAGTTTATTCATTCACAGATCTCTAATTTTAGATGAGTTTCTCTTAAAGCTGTCAAAAGGGGGGGGGGGGGGGGGGGGGGCGCGTATAGGTGGTCGGCTTGCAACTATGTTACATTACACCCCAAATATGGGTGTAACATGGTCTAAACAGGGTAAGCATGACACAAACAGCTTGAATTTTGGCCGATTCCTGCTGACCTGGCCCACCATTCACAGCTGTCAATCACGGTCCTTTCCGGTGATTACCGAGGATCTCTGACAGGGAGGAGGATTGCTTTGTTTACTAACAGTCCTCCTCCTTGTAGGCTCAGGCACACTGCTCTGGATGGCTGTGCACAGTGTGCTTACAGTGAAGCACCAACATACCGCCCCCCCCCCCCCCCCAGTAAAACACTCCCAGCACACAGTTAACCCTTTGATCGCCCGTCATGCTAACCCCTTCCTGCCCAGTGCTAGTGCTTTTTTTTTTTTTTTTTTTTTTTTTTTTAGCACTGATCACTGTATTGGTGTCACTGGGGAAGTCAGTGACACCAAGTCAGTTCCCCCCAGTGTCAGAATGCCCGCCGCATTCTCGCTATAAGTCGCTGATCGCCGCCATTACTAGTAAAAAAAAAAAAAAAAAATTCCAGTATATATACTGCCATTTGTAAACACTAACATTTTCATGTAAACCAATTAATTTACACGTATTGGGATTTTTTTTTTTTTTTTTTTTAGCAAAGACAAGTAGCAGAATACATTTTGGCCTAAATTTATGATGAAATTTGATTTAATTTTTTTTACTGGACATGTTTATTGGCAAAGTCAAAAATATTGTTTTTTTTTTTTTCTCAAAATTGTCGATTTTTTTTTTTATAGCACAAAAAATAAAACCGCACAGACGATCAAATACCACCAAAAGAAAGCTCAATTTGGGGGAAAAAAAGACTGTAAATTTCATTGGGTGTTGCATGACTGCGCAATTGTCAGTTAAAGTAACGTAAAAAATGGCCTGGTCAGGAAGGGGGTGTAACTCCTAGATTGTAAGCTCGAAAGAGCAGGGCCCTCAATCCCCTCATGTATTGCATTGTATTGGTATTGTTCTGCCACATGTTCTGTCCCCCTTTGTAATGTACAGCGCTGAGCGAACTATTGGCGCTTTATAAATACTGTATAATAATAATAATAAATCCTCAGGAGGGCAAGTGGTTAAGCAATTGCATAAACAGTGGGCTTTATGCTAGGTTGGATCTTCTGTAGGTAATAGTTCCTCAAGAGCGTGATAGACCTAATATTTGAAGCTGACTCGCCATGGGATAAAAAAAAAAAAAAAAAAAAAACTCCGTATGCACAAGCGATGACAAGTTCAGGATATACTTCATGTGATGTCACCTATCATGTTTGCTCCTAGTCACGGCAGGAATTAAACAGTCACTCAGTCTGGATAAAGTCAGCAAAGAGAAGATTTCTTGAAGAAACATTTCCTAAAAAAACACATTTTTCACTACACTCTGAATGCTGGTAACAAGCCTGAGCAATCGGGATGAAGTATCTGGAAGATCACGTTTAAACACGCCTGCACATACCTGTATGGGGAATATTTTGACAGCTACGAGTTCATTTAACAACTGTGCTTTCCACACGCAACCAAACCTCCCTCGAGCTTTCACTTCCAGTAACTGCAGAGGCTTCAGCCCCAGCAGCGGAGAGGGTGGTGGAGGTCCTGGATCCTGAAAGACAGAGAAGGAGGGTTACAACCTTTCTCAACCCAATTCAATAAGCCAATATTGTCATACATGCATAAATCTAGCATTACTTTTCATTGCCGATACATGTACAGCCAGTGCATCCTGGAATCGTAAAGCTCCACCTTCAGCCACAATTAACTAAAAATCTTTTTTTGTCATTATTTTAGACCATTATAATTTGTTTAATACATCCACGTACATAGATATGAATCAGGTTACCACAGGCTTACATCATGCAAAATGCAGTAAACCAGAGTGAAAGAACAGCAATCATTTAACGGTTGTGATTGCTGGACTAAAGAATTGCTGCACTTTAAAATCATATCTACACATTACAGATGGCACACAGCTTTTGGTTGGAGGGAGACTGAGCAGGACTGAAGGAGCTTTACAATTCCTAGAAATGACTTTTCTGGACCGGGTTCACCTATAAAACCCTAACGATAGATTCAATTGAAAGCCTTATTTTTAGTCTGCACATAATTAAGAAAGAGGATAGATTTATGTAAGTGGAAGCTGCTGCCCATCAATTCTTGGCATTCTAAGCTCATTGCATAATAGTAAAGAAAACACTAACTGCTGGCCTGTTGAAAATACTGATCCTCGTACAGGAAAGGAAAGAAGAAGTCTCTGGATCAGACTGGAAAATGTAAACAAGCATCTGCTTGTACACTCAGCATCTTACTGTCCTCAGGTAATACATGAGATCCTTTAGGTCATCCGATAGCTGAACTTAAGTGAACCTGTACCCAAGACCACACACTAAACTATTTACATATTATAATTAGGCAGAAAAAAAAAAAAATTAAACACCAAGCCCCACCTGCAGCTATAAGCATTGTGGAGGAATTCAAAGTTCACATTAGAGGCACTGAAATCTCAACTCTTATTTTCCATTGCATCAAAAATAATGGCAGCCTGCCAGTCCTCTAATGTAAACAAAGCAGGCTGTTCTAGGGCCCCTTTCACACAGGGCAGACTCTGCTTTCTTAGTGGAGGGTATGTCTGCTGACCCCCCGCTGGGCAGAAGGGAGCAGGCGGATGACAGGTCTGCATAAGTAGCACAGGCAAAGACACAGTCAGCTCTGCTCTAAGGGAAGTTGGATGTAAACGGACTGGCTGTTTGTTTACACCTGACTGCCATTTGGTCTGATCCGCCCAGACTGAGTGGAATGGATCCCCTGTCATTTGTATTTTAGTGGATTGGACTAACACAAGTCCATTTACACCCACCAGTTCCTAAGAATGTGTGGACCTTCTGATCCGGTCATTCTGAAAAATTGACAGGTGGACCTGGATTGGATCTCCTGTGTGAAAGGCTCTAAACAATGAGTTTTCCAGCCCCGGACACAGCTATGTCCTAGAATTTTTTCCACTGCTAACCTTCTACTGCCAAGTGTAGCTGTCTGAATGGGCCTATAGACTTCTAATTGCTGCATACAGATGTATACAAAACTAGGCACTGTACACATCTGTACATGGTGTTATTAATGCTCATATGAATGAGCCATAAGCTGTTAATTGACTGCAACACTTAGAAGTCTTTGTTGCATCCTTTGAGAATGAACTACTTCACAGAACAAGCACCTAGAGAGCTCAGGGATGGTTGGTTTTAAAGCTCTTATACTGCTTAAGGATTGGCAAGTCTGGGCACAGGTACACGTTAAAAAATAAAAAACTGCTAAAGATATTTTACCATGAAGACTTCTGCAGGGAAATGACCCCAACCTTTTAACAATCACTAAATCTCTCCACAAATATCCATGACAGCAACAATTTTTTTTTAATTTTGATATCCAAAATGTGCTTAACGTATCACCAAGTTCATCCACCTAGAGAGTTAATATAAAACAGTGGCAGTCTAATCCATAGGATAGCGGTGCGAAGCAATGCGTTAGATGTTGTTACCATGTGACTGGCACGGTCACGGTGAGCAGGCTGTGGCATGTGTCTGCCATGTTACAATACATAAAAACCTCACAAGTCTATCATGCACAGCACTAAGTGTTATCAATCTGGGGAAACATGTCATCTTACCTCTATCATTATGTGAAAGGCGTGCTTGTGAAGAAAAACACATATGCAAAATAAATTACTATCTGTACATTCCGGTCATCTTACATTCCTAGCAATACAACTATAATCTTCACAAGACCGTACAAAAATCGAAACGAAATCATCCCAAATCCCCATCTACCGGCAAAGATCATGAGTCATTCATGACACAAACTGCAGGGCCCATGGAGTAGGCTGTAGTAGGGTGCACTGTTACCTTCATACACCAGAGGGTGCTGCTGGAATAAATGTGTTATAGTTCACATGAGCACATTCCTTATCTCAGAAGACGGGAACATTCCAACGTTTCATCACTGGAATGCTTTCACCGGGGCTTCATACTCCCAGAAAACACAAAAATCACAGCAAATCCAACAAGTCTGCTAGCCAGCACTTCAAAACTTTAGGAAGCACAAGACTATTTTCATTTTTTTTTTTCACATACACACATTTTGGTGATTGGTGAAAGCCACCTTCCCTCAAACATTCACTTTAACAAGAAGATTCACCTGCATAAATGTTTGGTAAATGGCAGATTAACTGCTTTGTAAATATGCCCTATAGTGTGATGTTTGCCAGCATCTCCTCCAATAGGACACATAATTTGATTCTGTTTAAAAGAATTCTAAGACTGGCCATACACTATACAATTTTCTGTTCAATTTCGATTAGTTTTACCTTTAACTAGGTAGTACAAGGGCCTGCCTAATTGGATACAATTGAAAGTGTTGTTAGGTTTGACCTCCTATATGTTTTTTGGTAAATCTAAACCAAAAATCTCCAGATATTTGTATAATGTATGGCCAGCCTTAGACTGTGTAGAAGTGATTACCAAATTTCTGAAAATAATCGGGGGGGGGGGGGGGGGGGGGGGGCAGGGTCGTAAAAGTTACAGCTATACAAATAAATGTACACTGTCCAGTCTGGTAATACATACTAGGGCTATCAATACAGTTTTAGATCATGGATGTTATAAATAATATACCCCAGGTCCACATCCAAGCATTCTCTGCAGCGTTTTGCAGAAACAAGTGCAGTCCATTTACCATGATTTCCTATGGGACAGGTTCACACCTGTGCTTTCACCCGGTGCATTTTTTGGAAAGGGTCAGGGACTTTTTTATAACGCAAAAAGCTGCGTTTATGTTTCTATAGACTTCAATGGAGACGCTGCAGAAAAGAAGGTATTGTGTCTTTGGTGTGTTTTAAATCTTCCTAGCAACAAAAAAAAAAAAAAAAAACCCCACACAAAACACGTAAAAAACGCAATACAGAAACGGCTCAAAATGCAACCTGCATAGGTGCGATCTTAGCCTAAATGCAGAATGCCTGTGAGTTATTATTGCTGTCTGTGTCCCCGTTATAGAGAGATTCACCCTCACTATTTATCCTGTATACCGCTATCATTGAAAGTAAAGTCCCAAATTTTGGGTTGTAACCAGAAAAGTAAGAGGGGAAATCTTCCAATGGGGACACTGGTTCTGATGGCCTGGGGGTCCCCAAGAAACTCCCTTAATTTGAAGGGATTTCCTCACTTCCTGTTTGTCTAAGGGACAGGAAGTGAAATCTCCATAATGGGACATAGATGCAAAAAAAAAAAAAAAAAAAATAAATAATCTACCGGGTTATAATCCTCCCTTACTCTATCCACAATGAAAAAAAAATTGCATATAGTTGTACTTTAAGTGAAGCAGTCATTCTACACAGCAGGAAACCAGCTCTTACCCGCATTACCTTTTTCCACCACTCTAATCTACCATCATCACAAAAAACTCAGTACACACGTGTGCATCCCAAAATGCGAAGCTCAGCGCTTGTGAGACCAGCTGCCAGGCCTGATCCACATCACTTGGGGATGTTGGTGGTGGGGAGAGGTGGCCTGGGCTGTGGCAGCAAATCAGAGTGCTGGAGGAGCACAGTAAAGCCTGCGGCACAACATGCACGTTTCTTTTTGCCTAGTCTGAGTTTATCTGTGGCTGCGACAGGCAGAACGGCACTGAGCATGTGGTGATATTTGATAAAGGGAGTTCCTGAGATTCTGGGGGGGTGTTCAATGGAAAGCTCACCCCTGCTTCTATGCCAGGAAGAAACGACTGGTCAGTATGGCAGTTTTTTTTGGCCAGGCCTCAGCGAGAAGCAGTGTGTCATCTACAGGCATGTTTTGCAATGTTTTCTTTTAAACTACTGGGACAAATTAACCATATTTTGTTTTCTTTTAAAGGTGAATTAACACTTTAAGGGTCCATGCACACTGGGCTTCAAAAAATGTGAGTTCCTTTAAGAGAAAAAAAACCAAAACCACTAATATAGAGCATTTTTGCACAGGGGTTTAGGAGCATTCAGCATTTTCTGCCAAAAAACTTCTCTCAAAACCACAAAAAAAAGGGTTTTTTTCTGCCCCTAAACCCGGAGCTTAAAATATGCCTCTGATGGTCTTAATGTGCATGGACATAGACGATAACACTGAGCTGCTTCTACAGGCAAAACACTTAAACACATTTAATCCCCACTACACAAGTCAATTTAAAAAAAAAAAAAAAAAAAAAAAAAAAAAAACCTGACAGACTGCCATATCAACACAAGCAATGTTGGTACAGTGATCTCCCTGCTGTTTCTATTGAATACTGACAGTGAGGAGGCTCTCCCGCCCCCTAACTCCTCTTGGGAGATGTAGTTCTGGGGGTGTGGTTATGTCAGCAGAAACTGACTTTGAACACCATGCTGATCCCTCTTTCTAGAAGCTGCCCCTTCAAGATTTTAAATCACTGACCTAATATCCAAGTACCACCCAGCACGCACACTCCGCTCCTCACAAGACCTCCTTCTCTCTAGTTCCCTGGTCTCCTCCCATGCCCTCCTCCAGGACTTCTCCAGAGTGTCACCCATCCTCTGGAACTCCCTGCCCCAACCCATCAGATTTTCACCTACTCTCCTCTCCTTTAGGCGCACCCTGAAAACCCATCTCTTCAGGGAAGCCTACCCCACCCCCTGCTAACTTGCCAACCTCCTCCACTCTTCCTACCACTCCATCCCCCACAGCTATCTCCTCCTGTACCACCATCCCCTCCCTCCTAGATTGTAAGCTCGAAAGAGCAGGGCCCTCGATCCCCTCATGTTTTGTTATTGTTCTGTCACATGTTCTGTCCCCCTTTGTAATGTACAGCGCTGAGCGAACCACTGGCGCTTTATAAATACTGTATAATAATAATGATGCAACAGTGAGTAATTAAAGCAGTTTCTGTAATAATAGAGCACGGTAAAAGCAAAAAAATTATGCTGGGACAACTTTAGGAGGGGGTCAGGGATGTATGCCCAGAGGGAATGCGCAACAGTGTCCCCAATCATGGGCTGTTATAATGTAAAGTCTTTCCTTTCAAAGACTGCTTTTTTTTTTTTATTTTGTATTTTTGTTTTGTATTCTCTCCCTGACAGAGCAGAAATATCAGGCAGAGAGTGAGGATCCCAGGATCAAGACATAGCATCGTCAATGTTCATTATATTACCCCCTAAAAGTTCAATTCAGATAGGTTTGTCTGGAAATATGCTGCTCAAATCCATATGCCTTGTGCTGTGGGTGGTCAATTGTTGAAAAATTTCCTAGACACCGGACTGCAAATTCTGGTCAGAGTGGAGGCACTGGCTGATTATATACATCACATTGCCCTGATCCAGGGAGCTTCTGTTTCTGGATTGATCAATGTCCAAGGAAAAGCCTAGGGGCAATGTGAAGTCTGAGCTCCTGCCACGATCAGCACAGCCGAGGCAGATTGTTTTTTAGGGAAGGTGCTCTCCTGAACACAATTAAACAGGGAAAGGGGGAGAATCGCACTGTAGGAGGCTCTGGGGATGTTTGTTGCTGGTGGTGGGTTTATCGGCTGACAGCTGGATAGGCCCCTGGCATACGTGGATAATTGTGGGAGGGAAACCATAAAAAACTTTAATAGATGAACAGAACCATTACAGCAACCACTACACTAAACTTCCCACTTCACAACAATTGTGTTACTTCAGTACAGGTGCACTTTAAAGACTCCCCTGCTTTGCCTGTATCCGATTACAAAGGTCTGGGAACCTATCTGTGCCTATTCAGCATTTAGTGACTCTTAAAGATTGATGACGCTGAAGCCATCAATACAGAGCCGAGGGAAGCTATACACTTCACTTTACTCTGCGGCTTTCATTACAATGCTGTTTACAACTCCTATATGGAGGTCAAATGAAGGACATTAACTCAAAGGTGATCATATACAGAAGAATGTACCAGGCAGCAATAAATCAGACTCTCAGCTCCTCACAACCTGTACATCATTTATACAAGGTTCCTTTTTCTGCCTAGATCACCAATTGGATTAAACTTCTAGACAAATAATGTGGGAAACCACTTGAAATGGACATTGTGATATCATTTTAAAGCAAAACAATAACCGAAATATTGGCAAAATGGTTTGGGTTGGACTTGTGAACGACAGCAATTCCTGAGAGGAGACTGACGCTCCAAACAGGTAGGTTGGAACATTGTTGGGGCAAGTTGGGTCTTTCGTTATCACTTAGAAAAAAGCAAATTACATTTAAAGTGCTTGTAAAGGCTGAAGGTTTCTGTGCGTTTCATGCAGGAAGGTAGAAAACCTTCTGTGTCCTGCTGCCCCGCTCCCAGCACCCCCTTATACTCACCTGAGCTCTCTCTTGATCCAGCGATGTGCATGGGAACCTCGGGTCTCCCTCTCCTCACCCACTGGCTTCCTCTGCTGTCAGTCACAGCCAGTGAGAAGAGAGTGGGTGGCGGGGCCAAGCCACAGCTGTGTCTTATGGGCACTGAGCAGAACCTGAGAGTGAGCACACACCACGCACTGCAAGCGGCTTGCTACTGGAGGCACTGGTCAAGAGGGGAGGGGCCATGAGCACCAGCAGGGGAACCAAGAAGAGGAGGATCGGAGCTGCTCTGAGCAAAACCATTACATAGAGTATGACATGTTTGTTATTTAAAATACAAAAAAAAACAAACCCCAAGTCTCACTTTAAAGTGAACCACTGCTTTGTCTATGAAGGGCACAGCAACACGTTCATTTTAACCCCCAATAGAACATACTCTTATTTCACTGCCACGGTATTCAGTTGCCAGAAGCAGAAGATAAAATGCCCTGTGTAAGCCAAGACCCGCTCAAATCGTGGCTTATGAGGGGTTACAGGCACTCTACATGTGACAGCCGGGTGCTTGTGGCTGACCCAGAGAAGCATACTCAAAATACTGGGTATTACTTTTCTACCAGCAGCTGATGGAAACTTTTTTTTGGGGGTGGGATGATGAGTGGAGGAAAAGCCAGAGAGAAAACATTTGCAGTGCTGATTAGCAGCCCCCCCATACCTGAGAATGGGAATGGTGGGGACCAGCAACGAGGGTCCTGAATGGGGACTTTGGCGAGTATACCTTCCTTTACAAGTAAGAACAAAAAAAAAACCGTGCAGGTCAGGTTCAAGAAGGATCATATTTTGCCTGGAGTCGGGCTTTAATCGTAGATTGTGCAAAATGTGAAACCACATTCAAAAATCTCCTATTGTAATCAACGCCTAGTGGGATTCCAACTAACAACCACACAAAACCAGTGTTATGCCAGGCAGAATAACGTGTGTGATAATGATGGCAGCCCCCAATCAGAAATTTAGGGCGCATTCACACCTGCAAATGTATCCTCTGTGTGCTTAGCTGCAAGAACCCCAGCGATGGTTCCCACAATCAGCTGTGTATAGACAGCCCCATTAAAAGCAATAGGAGTCAGACAATGCTGGTAGCTAATCGTGTTCACTCTAATGCCATTGCTCAAGCTGCGATCACATATTAGTGATCAGCCCTGAATGCAGGCAGTCTGAGTCCAGGGCCAATCAGTGATCACAGCTTGAGCGGTTGCATGCAGGCGGGCACAATTAGCTACAAGTGCTGTCAGTCCCCCTTGCTGTTTTTGGGGCTGCCTACATGCAGATAATTGTGGAAAGCCCCGCTGGGGTTCCCACAGCTGAGCACACACAGGGTGCATTTACAAGTTCCTCATCAGGAAGATATCACAAGAGCTTCTCATATTAAAAACATTTTAGAGGACACGGCCTTCCCATACCACCAGAAAGACTATCATTTTAGGCATGCAAAACATTCTCAATGAAAGGCACGTTGTCATATCAAACACTTAAAGAGCTGCTGATAAATCTAAAATCAGAATGAGGATCTATCGAAGGATCTGAATGAGGGTCTCTTATACTGGTCACATTTGCTTGCCATGTGTTTACGGATAGGGTATACTGCATTACTGAGGAACTAAATACAACTTAAAGGATAAGTTCACCTTTGGGAACATGTTACATGTTCCACCAGTTTTTATGGTGGAACATGTTACATGTTCCCATAGCTGCAGCCGCCGTCCCCCTCCCTCTGACAGATAGTATGGGGAGTCTGGTTACCAAGGTGAGTGATGGCTGGTTTTAAAGCTAACTTGCTGATTAAGAAATCTAAAAACCCCTATCCGTAGCTTGGTTACAGGTTCACTTTATAGCCTCAGAAGGGTGCTGTGGCCTGTACAGTGTGAACTGGCAGTCAAGATAAAGGAGCTGACCATGAACATAGACGAGGCTGCTCACCCACCCATCAAATTAGGACAAGCAGCCGTGTGTATAGCTGATGCGTCCCCATAGAGTAACATAGGCAGCCTGCACGCAGCCCAGGGCATCGCCAGCCTGACATAAATGGCCCGTTCACGCTGTACAGTCCACAGTGCCTGTGTGACTGAGGCCTAAAGTGCAAGTCAAAAAAGCACCTAAATGAAGCATGCAGGATTTTATTTTCCTAGCAAATCTCAACAAAATGCACTGGTATGGTCAAGCCCATTAAAAAACAAAGCATCTTCACTATCCATACTATAGCAAAGCTGGGCTACTTACACACTATTAGCAACTAAGCAAACTATAGAACATGCCTGGAAGAAGTAATTCACAGAGGTGGGACAGAGGACTGGTTCCTTCTCCAAGAAAAAAAAAAAACTAAAAAGCATACGTGATTCATACAAACAGTTCCTCAAAGTATGGGACCCGTGGATTCAATATGATCACCACACACTTTCTGCAGACAGTGTAGCATTCTCATACCCACCAATGCTACAAAGAGGGACACACCAAGAAATTCAGACACTATACTCTCCTACCATCCCTTCACCTACTTTTATTAAGCACCCATACAGGGACACTGGAGAAAAGATGATGTACTTTATCCCCTCTATTCCGGATTTGTAATATCTAGAGCGTTCCATGCTGGGGTTATTGGTATGCACTATATGCAAACCAAACCTTGGACAGTGTGGAATGTATTAAACATATTGTAGTACATTGGTGGCAAGCAATAGAGACAAGATGTCCACAGTTTATACTTTTGCAAACGGTTTGTAAAATGTAGCTGAAAATATATGTAATGCATTTGCTCACTTCTAAATGAGGACTAACGCTGGGTTCTCTTCAGTTGAACCCTGAGCATCCTATTCACCCTTCTAAAAAATGAATTATATATCAAAAAACCTCCACATTTAAGTAAAGTGAAATTTCAGCGATTAGTATCAAATAATAATTCTTTTAGAGCTGATAATCGCAGATGCAAAATTTTCCCTGTGCTTTGTCATCTGTCATACCAGCAATCATTAACTCTGATTGTTTACAGTGTGATTTTCACATTTATTACCATACACAGCCCTGAAATACATGTATGATCCAGGATGAACACAAGGGGAGCTCCCCACCTTTATCCTACTCAGCAGAAAACTCCTTCTCTGTGTGACTAGTACCACGCATACTAAAACAGCTATTTTAGGTGCAACTGCAGATCAGTTCTGCGGCTACTGAACCAAACTAGGGAAATACGTATTCTTTTCATTTTAAAAGGTCAGTGTTGGCTGCATCTCCCAGGTGCAGCCCAACCTTGGAAAACCATTACGTAATGGGTTTGCAAGGCCATGTAACATTTCACTGGAAAAGGAAAAAAAAAAAAAAAACAAAACAAAAAAAAACAACAACAATAACTCAGCGATGGCAGCAGCATTGCTTCAAACAGTCATAATTGTGGCCACAGGATAGGGGTCTTCTGCTGAGTGGGCTAAAGGTGGGAATCCCTTTAAGGCATTAATCCTACAAGCAGAACAGACAGACTTATTCGGCTCTAAGCAGCTCATATCTGATACATACCTGAGTTGGGACCAGCACCGGAGGATAAGCAAGCTTATGATGTCTGTACATCCAGAAGGAGAAAAGGATGATCACAGCTAAACCCATGATGGGAACCAGAGAGTAAAGTAACGTATTGAACAGAGGAGGCTTTGGGGAGACTGGGAGAGAAGTTGCTGCAAGATGAAGAGAAAACCAGATGAAAACAAGGCACTGCAATCATTGTCAAAATCATTTTCCTTATAAATTAAAATAAAATTGATCCACATTATAAAAGCCTCCATGTGGCAACCACAATGAATAAAAGTGGGGACAGTGCATCCACCAGAGCACGCAGGGCAGGACTGCACAATGTTACGTCTAGAATCCTCCAGATTACTGAGATATCTAATCTACAGAATGTTCTTTCTATGCTTTTCCATGTATGATCATAACACTAGCTATATAGGTCTATTAATAGTGCCAAAAAAAATATTTTTTAATCTATAGCCGCTAATTAACTCAGCTATTAACATTTTTGTAAATTCAGGCCTACGGAAGCCGACTTGTGACTGGCTGCTAAAGGTTCAGGTCACACACAATTAAGGCAGCAACTCTGGTGTCAATACTGCACAATGTAAGATCCCCAATAAAGTTTAAAGAACACTTACGCTGGGTGATGTCAGCCTCTGGAAAGTGGAAGAAACGCTCATTGCACGCACTGCCTTCACAGCAACAGAAGAAGACATCAGGGTTCTCCTTCCGCTCCACGCATTCATTCCTGAAAACAAGACGGGAAAACAATTGTTGGCCAATTCAAGAGGAAAATAAAAATCAACAATTTCTTGTAATATACCGGTATCCAAAAACTTAAAAGATTTTGAATTGCTAGTCTCAGAAGATATGGTTTTGAAACGTGAAGAAAATACAGTAGTGATCGGCAGGATGTTAATCGCCCAAAGGACCAGTAAAATCCGTAAGATAACAGACAAAACCCATGGATCCCAAGAGCCATGTTGGGAATGCCTGAAGAAGTTAAAGCCGGCTTCTTTAAGCTGGACTCACACCTATATGATGCAGTAGTGCACATTATGTTCACTATATCGTCAAAAGTATTGGTCGGCCTGCCTTTACACGCACATGAACTTTAATGGCATCCCATTCTTGGTCTGTAGGGTTCAATATTGAGTTGGCCCACCCTTTGCAGCTATAACAACTTCAACTCTTCTGGGAAGGCCGTCCACAAGGTTTAGGAATGTGTCTATGGCAGGGGTGGGCAGCTGTGGCCCTCTAGCTGTTGGTGAACTACAAGTCCCATCATGCCTCTGCCTTTGGGAGTCATGCTTATAACTGTCAGTTTTGCCATGCATCATGTAGCTGTACACTTGTAGTTCTACAACAGCTGGAGAGCCACAGTTGCCCACCCTTGGTCTATGGGAATGCTTGACCATTCTTCCAGAAGTGCATTTGTGAGGTCAGGCACTGATGTCGGACAAGAAGGCCTGGCTCGCAGTCTCCGCTTCAATTCATCCCAAAGGTGTTCTTTTGGGTTGAGGTCAGGTCTCTGTGCAGACCAGACAAGTTCCTCCACCCCAAACGCGTTCATCCATTTCTTTATGGACCTTGCTTTGTGCACTGGTGTGCAGTCATGTTGGAACAGGAAGGGGCCATCCCCAAACTCTTCCCACAAAGTTGGGAGCATGAAATGGTCTAAAATGTCTTGGTACGCTGATGCCTTAAGAGTTCCTTTCACTGGAACTAGGGGGCCAAGTTCTCTACTCACTGTTGTGCTAACCTGAAGGCCACGCGAAGTTTGGAGGTCTTTAGCTATTGACTCTGCAGACAGTGGGCGACTTCTGCGCACTGTGCGCTTCAGCATGCACCGACCCCGCTCTGTCACTTTACGTAGCCTACCACTCCGTGGCTGAATTGCTGTTGTTCCCAATTGATTCCACTTTGTTATAATACTACTAACAGTTGACCGTGGAGTATTTAGTAACAAGGAAATTTCATGGATGGACTATCACAGAACCATGCTTGAATTCACTGAGCTCCTGAGAGCGACCCATTCTTTCACAAATGGTTGTAGAAGTAGCCTGTATGCCTAAGTGCCACAATACTTCTGGCAATATAGAGTATGATGTGAACTGTGGTGCTATTAAGTTCTAATGGTACCCAATACAAAAGTGTTAGTGTGCTGTGGGGTGCTGCAACCCACTACCATGCACTGTAGTGTGCTCCATTGCTAAAACTGGTACTGTCCCTTAGGATTATATACTGTTCAAAAAAATTAAAGGAACACTTTGAAAACACATCAGATCTCAATGGGGAAAAATTTCATGCTGGATATCTATACTGATATGGACTGGGCAATGTGTTAGGAACGCAACAATGCCCCATTGTTTGATGGAAATGAAAATTATTAACCTACAGAAGACTGAACTCAAAGACACCCCAAAAATCAAAGTGAAAAAATGATGAAGCAGGCTAGTCCATTTTGCTGAAATTTCATTGCAGAAACTCAAAATGGTACTCAATTCGTATGGCCCCGATGTGCTAGTATGCATGCCTGACAATGGATGGTGTTCTCTCAGATCTGGACCAGGACATCACTGAACTCCTGGACAGTGAGGTGAAACCTGGCGCCGTCGGATGGACCGAAAAAGGATATCCCAGAGATATTCTACTGGATTTAGGTCAGGCGAGCGTGGGGGCCATTCAATGCTATCAATTCCTTCATCCTCCAGGAACTGCCTGCATACTCTCGCCACATGAGGCCGGGCATTGTCGTGCACCAGGAGGAACCCAAGACCCACTACACCAGCTTAGGATCTGACAAGGATTTCATTCTGATACCAAACGGCAGTCAGGGTGTCATTGTCTAGCCTGCGGAGGTCTGTGCGTCCCTCCATGGATATGCCTCCCCAGACCATCACTGACCCACCACCAAAACTGTCATGCTGAACGATCTTACAGGCAGCATAAAGTTCTCCACGGCTTCTCCAGACCCTTTCATGTCTGTCACATGTGCTCAGGGAGAACCTGCTCTCATCTGTGAAAAGCACAGAGTGCCAGTGGCGGACCTGCCTATTCTGGTGTTCAATTATAAATGCCAATTGAGCATCAGTGGCCTACTGGAGGTCATTTTGTAAGGCTCTGGCAGCGCTCATCCTGTTCCTCCTTGCACAAAGGAGCAGATACCGTTCCTGCCGACGGGTTAAGCACCTCCTACGGCCCTGTTCAGCTCTCTCAGAGTAACTGCCTGCCTCCTGGAATCTGCTCCATGCTCTTGAGACTGTGTTGGGAGACACAGCAAATCTATTGGCAATGGCATGTATTGATGTGCCATCCTGGAGGAGTGGACTGCCTGTGCAACCTCTGTAGGGTCCAGGTATCGCCCCATGCTACCAGTAGTGACACTGACCCTAGCCAAATGCAAAACTAGTAAAAAAAAAGTCAGAAAAGAGTAGGGAAAAAAATGTCAGTACCCTCCACCTGTAAAAACATTCCTGTTTTGGGGGTCGTCTCATTGTTACCCATCTAGTGCACCTGTTGTTAATTTCATTAACACCAAAGCAGCTGAAACTGATTAACAACCCCCTCTGCTACTTAACTGACCAGATCAATATCCCAGGAGTTTAATTGACTTGATGCTAAACTCTGATTAAAAACTGTTCCTTTAATTATTTTGAGCAGTGCATTTTGCTGTGTTGGCAGACACACTCACTTTGATGAGGTTCCTTAATGCAATACACATTCATGAGCAAAATAACCAGACATGTGCCTATTCAGCCTCAAGATGTATGTCCAGAATTTGAATTCTGGAAGCTGTGCCCAAAAAGGAGGGCAGAGAGCAAAGGACTAGTCACCAGTATCGTGCCTGTGGCCTCCTGCAGGTGATCTTTTCCCCTGTCACTGACTTACCTTGTTCTGTATCTTGGTAAAGGCAAAGCTTGATTTCCTCGTGTCAGAAAGGGGTGTCACTCAACCCCTTTACCATTCAGAGAACGTCTTGTCCTTTTTTCAATGGATACAAGGTGCTCTCTGATTGGACAAAGTGGAGATTGTGATATCATCTGCCCCTCCTCTCTGCTTCAACCAATGAGAGAACAATATGTATTCACTAAAAAAAATTAAAGTCGTTTTCTAAATATAAGATATGCAGAGCAAGTGACCCCATGTATTCAGTATACAGAAGGCAAGTCACTCGAGCTGCAGGCAGAAGAGACCGGCGTTGATTTATGTAGTGCAAACACTACAATGCATTTTTGCATCCCCAGCGACCCTCCGGATGGTATATATAATTAGACGTAACCAAGTCGGACCAAGGAGCCGAGCTACACTGTGTGTCAGCTAGGGATTGAGCTCACACAACTCGGAAAGCAGGAGGAGCACCGGCGGGGGTCCATAGGAGGAGGATCAGGGATGCTCTGTGCACCTTCACTGCACAGAGCAGATAAGTAAAACATTTATATAAGAGTAAAAAACAAAGTTAACACCTTTACATTCCCTTTAAGCTCAATTCCTGTGCCAACTCTATGGAAAGGTTAAAATGTTAAGTGATGCAAAATGACAACTGTCACACCTAACCTATCCTCAAAACAATGCCACAGTAACAGGAAAACATTATTGGGAGAACAGCACTAGAATTGGTCTTGTGGTATTTTCAAAATAAATGGATCACACACATACAGATGGGCAGGGAGCCCACTCATTCCTCCTCTGCTAGATTTTTCTTTCTCAAGTACAGTTGCACTTTAAGTTAACAAATCTATACATCAGAACTACACAAAATATTTGATAAACTCATAAGAGGGCTCTGCAGTGGGCGTGACTACACAGTACCCAGGAAACCAATTCAATAAATCATTAACACAAAGGGAAGATGGAGAGGGCATGTTGTATGGCAGTGTTGAATCGCATGCTAATGTCATGCTAGAAGGCCATACTCTAGAAAGAATCTGTGCAGCAACATAATAAAAGGTATAGTAGTTTCCACCCATTTTCCAGCATTATAATAAATGGGTTTGGCTAAAACAGATGTGATGGAGTATTTGTAAGCATTTAAATTAAATGTGAAAAAAATCAAAATGCAAAAAAAAAAAAAAAAAAACACTAAGCCCAAAATATAAACATGAAAGCTCAATGTAATGATATGCAAATGTAACCTAAAAGTGGGTAAACAAAAGTGTACAGTGGATGTATATCAGCCTCTCTCAACGAGGGTGCCTTGAGGTTTCTTCAGGGGTGCTTTGGCAAAATGCCTAAAAATTGCTCAAAGCTTATAAACAAACCAACACGTTGGACAAGCCTGCTTTTTAGTTACACAATGCCACAGGTTTTCATTGTGCACCATTACAACCTTCTAGCTGCCGGCGTGTTGACAACTAATGACATCATCAGTTGATAAGAAGGATGTCAGCTGCCTGCACAGCATCCTAGTTTGCCCTCCCCTGACCCTCTCCATCAATGCTGGGGTCACATTAGCTCAGTGATGGAGAAAAACTGGGGGAGAAGAGAAACAATGGAATACTAGTCAGTACCAGTGCGCAAAAGTGTATTTGCTTTGGAAGAATAAATCACCTCTAATGTTGGGTGTCCTACATGTGTGGATGTTGCTGTGTTATATAAAACTATTAGAATACTTTCACATTTTAGAATGAGGTGCCCTTTTAAAATTATGGACAGTCTAGAGGCACCCCATTTTATAGGGTGCCTCGGGACTGTCCACTTTATAGGGTGCCTCGGGACTGTCCACCTTATAGGGTGCCTCGGGACTGTCCACCTTATAGGGTGCCTCGGGACTGTCCACCTTATAGGGTGCCTCGGGACTGTCCACCTTATAGGGTGCCTCGGGACTGTCCACCTTATAGGGTGCCTCGGGACTGTCCACCTTATAGGGTGCCTCGGGACTGTCCACCTTATAGGGTGCCTCGGGACTGTCCACCTTATAGGGTGCCTCGGGGACTGTCCATTTTATAGGGTGCCTCGGGACTGTCCATTTTATAGGGTGCCTCGGGACTGTCCATTTTATAGGGTGCCTCAGGACTGTCCATTTTATAGGGTGCCTCAGGACTGTCCATTTTATAGGGTGCCTCGGGACTGTCCATTTTATAGGGTGCCTTGACTGAAAAGAGATTGAGAAACACTGAACTATATAATGCTGAACCGATCATAACAAAGCTCAAGAGTCAGTCTCATCTAGGAAATACTTTTCAGGAAAGCCTGCACTAAGAGAAACAAACATTAGCTGCTCTGTTGTCCTCCTTTCTAAGTGCTCCGTTCTCAACTCCGCATTTGCACTTTTCATGCCATCCATTGTTCATTGTGTGGTGAACTGGCACAAGTTTTCATGCTCATCAAAACATGCAAGGCTCAACACTCAGATGTGCAGGTGCTTTTGGTGCATGTGTGTCGAGTAGGAGTGCATTTAAACACGTGATCACGTGACAAGGCGAGAACATAGCCTAACATGCTGGTCACAACAGGCTGCCTCTGAACAAGCATAGAAGCATAGTCAGAAGCTAACAGATCACAACGTGAGCCACTAGTAATGTTCAAAATAGGGGCCAGTAAGAACTTCCCATGTTTTTTTTCTCAGCACAAGCTTCTGTCAGTATTACAAAGTACAGCAATAGTAGAATAATATTCAACACTAAATACAGAATAAATGTATTAACATAGGCCTTTTCATCACTCACCAATGATGGTATTAAAAGGGAGCATATTTAATAACCACTAATACAAAGACGGCTTTTTTTGAAGCATGAAGAGGTTTTTTGTCAAGACAACAAGGAACCAAAACTTGCCAGTTAAAAAGGAGCAAAAAATAGGTACCGCTATAAAGAGCTATCAATATTGATTCAAAAGACTATCATAGGGGTCTGTATTAGGGGTGTGCTATTGGGGGTGCATGCTACCAGAGTTCAAAGTCCCAGGCACTGCACAAAGAGGTTGCTGAAGGGACAATGAGAACTCCATTATAGAGATCACATCGGAGCACACAAGCGATTCAAGAAACTACTGGGTAATTTCATTTTTCAGCATTTGCCAAAAACCACTTTACACAGACCAGCTAATGCAGGATATTTTCTTACTTGTCATAGCAGTTGATGTCATCCAACCAACAGCCTTGCTTAAGTATTTCTATAGATCCAGAGGTATTCTTCCACGTGGCAAAACAATGCCTCCTCTTGTCATGGTCTCCCTGGCAGCGCTCAATACCACTGTGATTTGTCTTGTCCTTTTCCCAACTGGCGTTATAATAGATACATTCCTGGGTCTCCGACCTCCCCAGTATGGCTCCTGTGTACAACAAATAAAACGTGTTAACATATATAATATTCCCCATAGAGCTGAAATGATTACATAACTATTCAACAGTTTGTGCACATTTCTTTAGATCTTTAATCGTTTTAATTTTTTGCAAGATACGACGGTTTAAGAAATACTGTATGTAAATATTAGAAGTGCTTAGTGTCAAATGCAAATATTGCTCAATGCGCTGAAAAATCTGTACAGCAAACTAGTGATTTGTCCTTTCTGCAAGAAAACTGGCATTGCCAAATATGCAACCCTCTCCAAATGTGTTTCCTAAGAGGATATGAAAGCTATCCTGTCAACCAGGAGCCCAGCAGTTTAAGCGTTAAACATGACATTACCCTTTCACATAAACCATTGAGGAGAAAAGTAATGATGAGGAAAACATTGGATCATTGCTTACAACTTATGATATCCACAGGCAGAATTACAAATGATAGCTTGGTGGTCGTCTGTTGCTACAGGGAATTCATCAGATTGACTTCTGATGTCAGGAAGGAGCTACCAAGTTTTGCAATCAGAATGGGTCAGTGGGTTGTTTGTCCTTCCTTTAGGCCAAACTGCTAGGACTTTGAATTACAGTCAAAGGAACAGTCTTTCCAACCTGTCAAGCCTACTTCAATGGACAATGATTTGGTTGCCTACTCCAGGGTTTCTCAATCAGGGTTCCATGGAACCCTAGTGTTGCTAGGGGTTCCTTTATCTGAGAGGCAAAAATTGCTCATTGCTTAATTCCCACTGACACCATTGATCTGTTTACCCATCTGCAAGGGGGCAATGACCCTTACACACCATCAGTTTTTTTTTTGTATTCAATCCAGTGGGCTGAATGGAAAAAAAAAAAAAAAAAAAGAAAACCTGACCGGTCGCTGTGCTAACACAAGTGGTGTTAGTACAGCGATCTCCCCCACCCTCCCGCTGGAACACTCCGGCCAGCACTCTCAGACGATCGTCAGACCTTTTTCGGTCATGCCCCTTCGACAGAAGCCGGACGAACTCAGACAGGCTGCTGTACACACGGGCCGAACGTAGCCCCCTATTTGGTCCATGTGTATGGGGCTTAACTCTTCCCAGTGACCACAAGGGTTCGGAGCATTCTTCCCCTGACCACAACACTAATGCATCAAGAATTGTAGATATGGGAATTATCAGGGGTTCCTCTGTATTGAAAAAGTGGAGAAAGGCTGGCCTAATCTGTGGGTCCCTCAGAAGCGAGAATGTCACCCAACCGATCTGAAAATTTCCAGATTAAATGACTGATCTCACATCTATGGCTATGCCCTTGGAAGCAGGGAGCAACACCTAACACATCTGGCTTGCAAGAATGCCATGGAAGAGGCAAATAGTTTCTAGCTTTCTTGTTGACAGAATTGTAGGCTTGCCATGGTCCTTCAGTACACAGCCAAGAAGGTAATTACAATAAGGCTGCTACAATAAGCTGATCAGCAGCTGCAACAAAAAATTTCCAGCATGTCTTTTCCACAGAAGTTGATCAAACAATCAACTTCTTTTGAGCAGAAACGGCCACATACTGATCAAAGTCTGACTGGTCCCTGCTAAACTGGCCAAATTATGATCAGTGTATGGCCACCTTCAAGCCTGGTACAATCTCCTACACAGAATAGCAAATCACCACACTTTCTTGTAATACTAACATAATTATATTAAATCAAAAAGGATGGAGAAATTCATTCCAGCATATATCCAAAAGAAACAAACTTTCATCAATCCTCTATACTTTGTGTTCATTTTCTACAACAACCCCTCAGCAACCTAAGGCAGCAAAGTAATATACGTAATCACAGCAATACCATAAATTCCAGACTTCTCTGTGAAATTTTTACCAAAGACACTATGTATATTTTATTTACTAAAGAGCGTTCACACATTTACAGTGATGAACATTATGACCTGCATGCCCAGAAGCTGCAGATCAACATTTTTACATAGCAACTCAATGCAAACTTTAATAAAATGAACCACTAATGCTTTTCAGGAAGCGTTGCAGCAAAAATCAAAGCACATTCAGTTTACATAAAAATGGTTTTAAATTCAACATCACGGTTACTATTTGACACACGATGAACTTTCACTTCAGGCTTGTGATTCCATCAGGTTGCTATTAAAAGGGCACAAAGACCCATTAAAAAAAAAAAAAAAAAAAAAAAAAAAAAAAAAAGAGAAGCATCACTAAACTAATGTTGCAGAGTGGACTGGTAAGCTTGGCTATACAGCATATTATGTAGATTTGTATACATTGCTTTAAGAATGTAATGTTGGCTTTAAAAACACACCTGGCTACTGTACATTATTGAAATTCGATCATATTTTATCAGAATATTCATCTACTATAATGGCCCTCTGTACATTAGTCAGTGCAGTCAGCATATTAAAAATAAAAAATTAAAAAACTAAACTGCTCTGGAGAGTTTGTTACAAAGACACGAGCATCCTCTGCTACATTGTGCAGTGCTGTAGTGATGAGCTCAGCGTGCGGCTTCTCCTTTATTGTACAATGAGAGACGGGGTGGGTTCTGAACTTGGCTAGTCTGTACGAAGGTCCAGGACCTTGCTGTGAAATCTGGCAGGGAAGTATGGAGCTCAATTTAGAATGATGCCAATGGGCATTTGTTTCGTTTTTTGTTTTTCTTTAGAGGCCATGAGCTCCGAATGACAATAGAAAAAAAAAAAACCTAGAAAGTCAGATGCCATATGGTTTGATACACTGGCTGCTTGGCTCCTGGGATTTGTCCAAGCCTACTAAAGGTAATTTATAATTGGAGAACTTCCCTCTTCAGAATCCAATGCATTCTCACACAATAAAATAGTCACCACAGCATGTGCCTTCATGCACTGCCATTTAATGCATTCTTTTTATAGCTTCATCAGAAATACAAACCCCTATTTAAATACAAGTCAGACGTGTTCTTCTATTAGGGATAAAACACACCTCTTACTACCAAAAGGTGAGATCCACCCTTCATCAGTCCCCATCAAACCAGTAGAGCAGGCTCTACCAGCCATGGCCTGTGCTGGAAATCATCAGTCACTGGCTCACAAGCTGTACAGGCACTGAAAGCGTAGTGTGCGTATACATGACCAAAATGGCGGGCAGGATGGAACATGTTTCTCAGGGTGTGCAAAGGGCAACCTACCATTAAAAATATCCATACTGATGCAGATCAGGGAGTCTGGTTTAAGGATCTGCGTTCCCTTCTTCAGGGCGAACAACACACATTGGGGGACATTTACTAAAACATCAGCTATGCAGAGCTGCAGCAGATCTTGCATTATGTGGTTTTAGTAAATAACCCCCATTGTATTATACTTAGCCAGCTGCATTCACAAATTACTCAAGCTTCTTCTCTAAAATTCACATTAGTGCATAAATTGGCATTTTCTGCAACAGATATGGTCAATTCTACACCGACAGTGGCTGGCATAACCAAAATAAATACAGAACATTCAATCCAAAGTATTTTTTCTCATTGATTTGACATCAATAGGCTCTGGAGTAATTTCCACTCCACAGAGAAATCTCAAATACAGTAGATCAAATCCAAACAGCTTCATGTGTGGTGATTCAGAACAAGGATCCCCTCCATAGCAAAAATGTGTCACATTTAAAAATACCAAACAAACACGTGACAGTCCAAAAATGGTTTCTACACATCTGTTAACGTGTTCTTTCACTATGGGTATTTTGATCACAGGTTTTGTAACGCAATCAACGGTTTCATGTGTACGCATGTAAGCATGTGTAAGCGTGTGCTTTTACGTTTGTATGTGCGTATATGTGTGGGCCATTTATTTTTTTGTTATGTGCTCTTGGGTGTAACTTTAATTTTTTCCAATTAAAAACAAAATTATTTTTTTTTTAACTTAATTTTTTTTTCAATCACATAGGGGACACCTGATATTTAGTGACAGGTTTTCTTTATTGTACTCCCCTGTATGTAATGCAGTGCACATCGCACTGCATTACATTTTTCCCAGCCTCTATGGCCGGGAAATCTGTCAACTGGGACAACATGATGTCAATCTGTCAGGATAATAAGTGGAGGGGAGAAGACCTGCAAATTGGCACTATGGACTGTGTGAAAATTGGCACGGGGGGGGGGGGGGGGGGGGGGGGGGGGGGGCTGTGTGAAAGCAATTGGGCAGCAGCAGGGCTGGCTGAATGCTTTCACCTGACAGGTGAGCCCTGCTGCTTGCCCACAGCAGAGCTAAAGGTGAAAAAAAAAAAAAAAAAAAAAAAAACCTACCTGCCCGCCACTATATGTCCCAGGCGTTGGGCGATATAAATTCAACATCTCTGTATAACATACATGTCATACTTGTCTGCTCTGTGCAGTGTGTTTCCACTGAGTAGCCCAGATCCCCCTGCCAGCAAAGCCTGACACTTTTTCTGGTGTCCTAGATCTAAATGATCATTTAACCCATGTGGTGCAGGGACAGCTCCAATACAAGGGAGGATTTTTACTTTGCCTGGAGATAAGCTTTAAAAAGCCGTGTCTTTAAGACAGCCTTACATATCAGAATTATATTGTGTTCCATGAATGGGGCAGCTCAGATCCCAGAAGCCAGGCAACAGGGACACCTAAAAGATTACAGCTGTAACATAACTTTCTCAAGCCTTTTCTAAGGAAGTAATAGATGCCAATTTCCCCTGGCTTCTCACTAGTGCCTGCTGGCTTGTAGATTAAATCCTAGGAAAGCAGAAACTCTACATGTACTTCGCCCCCACCCCACAATTTACCAGCACTGCCAAGCATCTCCCAGACTACGAGTGCTAAGCAACTCTGCCAGGCTCTCTCAAAGAGAAACATATACAACCAGAAACCTATTCGTTTTTCGTTTCCAAAGCTGTGCAGGTCTACTCTGACTTAATATGTAAAAAAAAAAAAACAAAAAAAAACAAACAAAAAAAAAAAACAAACCACTATTCAGTGGAGTGTTGACGTTTCTCATCTTTTGAATTGCATAAAGGCAGATGGATATC